CAAAATCTAAACAACTTCTTTAAGCCTCAAATTAACAAAATCTAAACAACTTCTTTAAGCCTAAAATCAGCAAAAGCTAAACAATTTCTTTAAGCCTAAAATCAGTAAAAGCTAAACTTCTTTAAGCCTAAAATCAGCAAAAGCTAAACAATTTCTTTAAGCCTAAAATCAGTAAAAGCTAAACTTCTTTAAGCCTAAAATCAGCAAAAGCTAAACAACTTCTTTAAGCCTAAAATCAGTAAAAGCTAAACAACTTCTTTAAGCCTAAAATCAGCAAAAGCTAAACAATTTCTTTAAGCCTAAAATCAGTAAAAGCTAAACAACTTCTTTAAGCCTAAAATCAGCAAAAGCTAAACAACTTCTTTAAAATCGGAAGTCCATCAACCGTGGTAAAACAATAGCGGCTCATTTGGTCATCGCAGTATTCAGCAAACGATATAAAGCGCTGAAATAGCCTTCCAACATAAAGTAGTATTAACTCTTTCGAACAGCACAAGTTTTGTCCTATACAACTTATTTTCTCTTGTTCAAAGTTGCTACCAAAACGTAGTAATTTCTATACAATCGACTCACGATTTTAGGGTTAATAAAATTGAATTTTTGATCCATGCACTTTTAAAACGTTAAAACACTCTTTAATATTACTCTACGACAGGCGTTTGGTGGTAGTTAACAGAAAGGCTTTACATAATGAAATTAATTAATTAATTCGCGATACTTACCTAACGTAACAGTGAGAAACATGTGAATAATTATGTTCTAAACTGCCGATACGAAAAAGTTTTAAGTAAGGCTATGAAATACTTGGGAAAATGTTTTTCAATCCAACAAGAAATGTGTCCAAAAAAAGAAGCAATTATTTTTTCATAGTACACATAATTTAAGAACAACTAAAGACCTGCTGGTCTATCTAGGTCCATCCACTAAACTAAACTTTAAAATAAAACACTCAAAGCCAGCCCTTATTATTTATATATTTATGAAGCCTTCCCTTAAACTTCCTTAAATTAACTGCATCCACAACATCTGAAGACAACCTATATAAAAGGTTAAACACCCTGTTGGAAAAATAAAGTTCTATTATCTTCATCATTAAGTATGGAAAACAATGATGCCTCTACATTAACACTTCCTTTAACAATTTTAAACACCTCAACCGCAACATTAACAGGTCTCTTAACAATCTTAAACACCTCAACCTCAACATTAACAGTTCCCTTAACAACCTTAAATACCTCAATCAGATCCCTTCTTCCTCGTCTTTTTTCAAGAGAAAAAACTTCAGAGATCCTTAGCCTCATATGATAACTTTTACATCCCAGGTATCATCCTAATAGCTCAGCTCTCCTCTGAACCCTTTCCAACAATTCAATTTCCTTTCCAAGGTAAGGCACCCATGACTAAAGACAATATTCCAAATGTGGCCTAGCCAATGACTTATATGTTTTAACCTCATTAGACACCTATTCAATATTTCTATTTTTCTTGCTACTAGTAACAGTACATTATTGGATGGATTAAAAAACTGATCAACCAGAACAGCGTTTTTTGAACCTTTTCGATACCATGGATCAGTTTGCTGCCTCCCTAAACTATCGCGAACCACTAATACGCAAGTACAACGAAAAAGTATTATGATTTACATATGAACATTCTGTCAGTTTTGTTTGTTTGTTTTAGTGAACTCCCACAGATTTGTAAGGTGGTTGTGGTGAACCAGTGGTTGAGAAAAACTGAACTAGAACATCAAAATCATTTTCTTCTATAACACTGTTAAGGTTAATGTCATCAAAATTATACTCATAATTCAAATTATTTATTTATTATGCATTTATTATAATTAAAACTCATCTGCTATTTATTTGTCTAACTCAATACATTATCTAAATCCCTTTGTAAAGCAGCAGCTTCTCCTCACAACCAGCAACATTCAAAACTTTAATATAATCAACAAATTTAAATAATTTACTAACCATTCCTTCATCTACGTTCTGATGTAAATCAAAAGCTGCATAGATCCTAACACTGAGCCCTCAGATACTCCACTTGTGTCATTAATCCAGTTTCACTAAACTCTATTTATTACAGCCTCTGCCTTTTTACATCCAGCCAGTTTTTTATCCAGTGAGTCACCCCCCCCCAAACACACACCTGCACAGATCATATTTCACAAGCCCAACCAAGCCTTCTATGTGGCACCTTATCAGATGTTTTCTGTAAATCCAGATGCACCAAATCCACACCCATACCTTCATCTACATAAGCAGTAATCTCTTCAAAGAATTCCAAAATATTAGTAAGGCAAGATTTTCCCCAATTGACATCATGCTGACTATCCGACAGAATTTTAAACTTTGTTAAATGCCTTTGCAAAGCGTATTTATTATATTTTAAAAACTTTTCCCGCCACTGATGTAAGATTAATAGGCCTATAATTACTAGGACAATATGTATCAGTTTCTTTGAAAATAAATATAACATTCGCCAACTTCCAATCTTCTATCACCTTTTCACTATTCAAAGACTTATCGTTCTTCAAAGCTCTTGAAGAAAGATTATCTGGCCCACGAGCTTTACTATTAAACTTTCAAGTTTTTTCTTAACAAGCTCAGAATTAATGTGATCATTTTGTTTGATTTTATTTCCATCTCGCAATTGCTCAAGATGAAGAATATTGCTTAAATCTTCAAAAGGAAAAAATGAATAAAATAGAATTTAATAACCCAGCCATCTGAAAAATCATCATATATGAACCTTCCTACATTATTGATCTTCTGTAATGCTCACATCATATCAATCTATTTAAACTTTGTACATTTATAATACTTTAATTTCATACTTTATACCCTTTGTGAGCCAGCCTGTATTTTTTTACTCGCAGCCACATTCTTTTCCCATAAGGAGGCATTCCTTGAATACTTAAAAATTTATTTTTCAAAATTTACCATATTTGATCAGTATCTACAATTTACAAGAAATATTGAATATTTTAGATATCTAATTGAAATGAAATATCTAAATTGAATCTTTTAGTTCTAACTGAAATAAAAAATCTAAATTGAATCTTTTAGATGTCTAATTGAAATGAAAAAATCTAAATTGAATCTTTGAGATATCTAACTGAAATGAAATATCTAAATTGAATATTTTAGATATCTAATTGAAATGAAATATCTAAATTGAATATTTTAGATATCTAATTGAAATGAACTATCTAAATTGAATCTTTTAGATGTCTAATTGAAATGAAATATCTAAATTGAAGCTTTTAGATGTCTAATTGAAATGAAGTATCTAAATTGGATATTTTAGATGTCTAATTGAAATCAAAAATCTAAATTGAGTCTTTTAGATATCTAACTGAAATGAAATATCTAAATTCAATATTTTTCGGTATTTTAAATGATGTTCCTTATGTTTATTGGCAGTACTATATAGTATTGTACATAAAATATCAGAGAAATTTGATAATACACTTCGAGTTTTTTTTACTTTTTTAACTTGTATTGTGATTGTAACTATTTATACAATCAGTTAATGTTTCATCAATGAGAGATATTTATTAGAATACAACAACAATCTACAATTTAAATTTTACTTTATGTATCTGTTAACCCTTATCCAAACTTTTAAAAACAGAGCCTGTGCTATCCGAAATTCATGTATTATAATTATAACATCTAGTTATTTAGAATTTTTTCTTCAAAGCTACACAAGAACCATTTGGACATAGCCCTCCCCAATTTTTAACTGATAGATTGGAAGGAAGTCATCTTGTCAACAGTATTCTCTTAAGCTACTCTTGTTTGATAAGCAGTTTTTGACCATCATTGTTACAGCACACCCACGGTCCCAAATTGTGAAATGCTTTTTTTTTCTTCTATTTTTTCCCCGACCAAGACAGGCAAATCTCCTACCCACCAATACGGTAATTACTTGGCCACGATCGGCCTAGAAAGAGATGGGGCCATACATCTCATTTTCCAAATGAATTCAAGGCCAAAGTTTGAATATTAAGTTTAAAAAGGCAAAAAAAAAATCCTACGCAACAGTACCTCATTCGTTATAATATGTTCCTCGCAGGTTTTTGAAAAGAAAGATTTAAAGCAACAAAAAAAACATAACTTTAAGTTCTATATAAATGTACTTCTCACCTCAGATCTATTCTGCAAAGATGGAGAAAATAAATAATTACTTCTTGACCTTGATAGATTTCTTTTTTATTTATATATCTTTGTATAAACACGTGCTCTTTTACAGCTTCCAGTATTCGGAGATTTCACACAAGGTTATCTCTATAAGATTTCTGTATTGGTCCAGTACAAGTTGCAGGAACCGCCTTTACTACCGTGTGTCAATTTACGTCTGGTTCGAGAGTACTTATCTAGTGGTCTCAAGTACTTAGTTAAACATCAAACATTCAAGTTTTACTTGAGGGAGAATTGTGATATATTCAAAGTGTTGTTATTAAGCCAAAATTGTTCACCTTCCTCTACACATAGTGATAGAATAAATCAGTTTTTGTTATTTGGAACTAATTTGATGCTCTCTGTGCTCCTGTGCATATAATTGTGATCACAAAACTTCTGGGAGCGAGAGTTGTCCATATTCACTTACAAATGTGTTATTCTGTTCTGCAGACTACGATGCTTGTAGAAATAGATGCTTACTCTAGATAATTAAAATTTTCTAAAATCCCATCATCATTATTGTATGATTAAAAACGTTTGATAAGTCACATAAAATAGAAGATAAAACCCTATCGCTTTCGAGAAGTATACCTGAGCTTTATTTCTGAAAATGTCAGATCCAAAAAGCGCAAGGACCTTCATGGGTTTTATGTGATCACTGTTGTATTGTGCACGTGAATTAACGTTATTATTCATTCAGTTAATGTATATTTTTCCCCATAGATGACGTTAAAGGCATATAATTAATGAAGTTAAGCACAAAGCTACACAAAGG